ATGAACACACATGCACCACACACACACACACACACACACACACACACATACACACACACACACACACACACACACACACACAAGGAAAGAAAGATGATGCATGAAACATCTAGGGTGGAAATTTCCAGGTGTGTGTTGTGGTCTGTTTTGGAGAGGGAGAGTAAGGAGTGGGGTCTTGCTAAGTTGTCCAGGCTGTCCTTGAACTTGTGATCTTCCTGCCTCAGCCTCCCAAGTGCTAAGATCACAGCATGCATCACTATGCTGTGACACTGGAGAGGAACCCAGGGCCTCGAGCATGCTAGGCAAGCACTCTCCTTGTCACATAGTCCAGCTGGGCTGTGGTCACTGAACACAGTAACCCATGTTCTCCAGCTGTTGGGCAGAAAAGGAGGAACTGAGTGTGCTCCAGGTGGCATGTAGTGACACATGGCTGATGGACAATTCTGCTTGCTGGGCAATGTCATTCCTTTGGATTGTGGCAGAGGCCCGTAGGAGGCCGTAGGACCCCAGGGTTGTCCCAGAAGGCATGGATGAATCCCTGCCTTGGTGCCGGCTCCTTTTATTTTGCCGGTGGCTCTGACAGTTGGCTGTTTGCTGTTTGCTTTCCAAGTACCTAGCAGATTCAGTTCTGTAGACAAAGCAGGAGAAAGTAGCCACCAGCCATCCAGGGACAGGGCTGGAGAGATGATTCAGCAGCTCTTCCAGGGGACCCAGGTTCAGTTCCCAGTACCCACATAGCAGCTAACCACTACCTGTAACTCCAGTTCCAGGGGATCTGACACCCTCTTCTGGCCTCTGCGAGCACCAGGCATTCACATGGTTTACAGACATGCATGTAGGCAAAACACATAAGATAAAAATAAATTTTGCTGGGCGTGGTGGCACAGGGCTTTAATCCCAGCACTCGGGAGGCAGAGGCAGGAGGATCCCTGTGAGTTCAAGGCCAGCCTGGTCTACATAGTGAGTTCCAGGACAGCTGGGGCTACAGGGAGGGTTTCAAAATGACCAAAAATAAATAATAAAATTAATAAATTTCAAAAAAAACTACACAGAGATATTGTAAAACCTGAAGACATTCAATCTAGTGCCCCATGGTGAAGGTTTGGGGAGGGCTGTGACATTGCAAGCCTTCATAACAATATTTTTGAGATGGCCCTGTGTAGAACATTATAAATGGATTACTGTATGAAAGCAGGGGTATTTGTGTGACATTTTAATGAATGTCATCCAAAAATCTCTGGTTGAATCAGAGAAGGTTAATATATTCATAAAAGTACTTAGTAGGTGGAAAGATTTCAATCTTAATTGTGTCTTATTTTATTATTGAGATTAAGCATCTTTTCATTTCTTCTATGAATTGCTCATTGTTCTATGAAGCTTTTTTTTCTTATTGATCTATAAATACTCTTTACATATCAGGGATAATAGCCCTTTATCTATTATCTCTGCTTCCTGCCTCCCTTGCTTGTTTGGCTTTGATTGGTGGTAGAATCTTCTTGCTGCCTCTTATAGGAAGTTCTTGGGTTTTATAAGCAGAGGCCATTCACCAGTGTTTTAGCAAATCAGAGCACATCTGGCCTCCTGGGAGTCGGTGGTGGGGGGAGTTACATGATGAACTAGAACATCATCCAAGAGCCCTCTGTCCCTCTAGGCAGGTAGCTTGTGGGTGCTGACAACAATAAAGCAGAACAAGTTTGAGGAACTGCAAAACTGGTAAAACAAGAAAGTTAGTTTGTGGGCAGGCTGCGTTCTGCATGAGGGGTTAGGCTACTAAGCCAGGAGGAAGGGCCTGTGCTCTGCCCAGGGCAGGGCCCAGCTCAGGTTTAACTATTAGAAAGGCGACCATGAGCTTAGGAATTCAAACCATGCCCCAGGTTTCCTGCTGTGGCTCTGGTTACACCAATAGATGGAAACGTTCTAGAAAGATAAAGTGGGCTGACTTGGAGGCCCTCCCCCCCAATTCTTCCTTGTGTGACTCTAGGAGCATCATTTAACTGGTCTGCGCTCAGAGCTCTTCTACACACGCAGCACCTCTGGGCCAAGGCCACATGAGAGTCATGATTCAAACCAGAAAACCTGTTGGCTCTGAAGTGCCAGGCAACCAGTTTCCCCACTAACCACAGGCAACCAGCTTGAGAAGCAACTGGGCCCACTCCTTGTTAGGGCTCTCATAGAGCCTGCACCTGCCCCAGCACCCTCCTCTAGCCACCATACCCTTACCCTACAGCAGAGTGGACAACCTCATGGGGAGCAGCCATCAGCCCTACACAATGACTGCTGCTGTGGGGCTAGTGCCAGTTGACCACAGTGGCCCTGTGACCCTCGTTATGCACTGTCAGGAGAGCAGGAAACAAAAAGCCTTTCTCCTGCCACCAGGGTGGGTGCTCAGCACTGTACTAGGGCTAGTTCCAGAGCCAGGGAAGCAGAGGGCAGAGTCTTGCATCAGAAACAGCTCACATAGCCTGTAGCTGCCCACACTATGCTACCTAGCCAGCTCCCCAGCTTCTCTCTGTGGATGAAGATCAGCCCTGCTGTGCTGGGCCCTTGCTTTGTGCGCAGTGGCCTCCCCTCACAGCAAGGCCCTGCCTTGCACAGACATCCTAGGGTTCTCACTTTACACAGAGGGAAACTAAGGACCAAGTCATTTCAGTGATCCTCTGCCATCTTGGGGGTGGGTGCTTAAAACTAGCACATGTCAACCTGGGCATGGTGGTGCATGCCTTTAATCCCAGCACTCGGGAGGCAGAGGCAGGTAGATCTCTGTGAGTGCCTGGTCTACATAGTGAGTTCTAGGCCAGCTGGGGCTACTGGGAGACCGTGTCTCAAAAAGACCAAAAAAAAAAAAAACTAGCATATGGATGTGATCTGAGCTGTGATAAAGCATATAAAGGGGGCCGAGGAGATGGCTCTGTTGGTAAAGTGCCTGCCACACAATCATGAGGACCTGAGTTTGGATCCCAGCACCCACCAAAAAATGTTGGGCTGTCTATATTGTCCCCACCCCTCCATCCCCCACCAGGGGGAACAGGAATTTGGAGACAAAAGGGTAAGGAGAGTGATTAGGGACACACCCATAATTGACCTTTGCCCTACACACACACACAGGAAAAGCCTGCCAGGAAATCCTGCGTTTCCCGCAGTCCATTTACCCACTCCACAGGTGCCAACCAGGCACTGTGGCAGATTAAGAGCCAACAGCCTGCATCATTGAGGGGCAGCAACTCAGCCTCCTCTGTGGGAGACTTCGAGAAGGAGAGTGGGCTGGGTATGATGGCTCGCACCTGTTATCCCAGCATTCCAGCAGCTGAGGCAGGGGGATCATGAGATCTAGGCCATCCTGAGCTACACAGCAAGACCATTTCTCAAAAAGAAAAAGAATAAAATGTGGGGTGCAGGGCAGTGTGACTCATACTCAGCAGAGGTTCTGGGGAGATTTTCTGGGTCATGGAGCCTGACCCTGGAATCATAAGGTAACTAAAGCCCATTTACCCAGTGTTCCCCACATGGCACACTGGGAAGTAGTATGTTGCCTTGTCTTTTTAATTGTTTACATCTTCTTTGTATATGTGAGCATGCACATATGTGCCATAGCACACTAGTGGGAGGTCCAAGAACAACTTTGAGAGTTGGTTCTTTCTTTCTACCATGTAGATCCCAGGGATCAAACTCAGGTCATTAAGTACCTTTCTTTATCCACTAAGCCATCTTGCCAGCCCTTGTTTTTGGTGCTAAGGGTAGTACTCAGGACCTCACACATGGTAGGGCTATGCTCTGTCAACTGAACTCTACCCCTAGCCCAGATGCACTATTTTTTTCTTGTTTTGAGACTCTACTTTGTAGCCCAGGCTGTCCTCTAAACTCCTGATACTCCTGCCTCAGCCTCCTGAATGCTGGGATTACAGGTGTGTGTCACCACCTTGGTTGGGGCACTCTTAAATCCTAATTTACTCCCATGTGTCTGATCCCTCTCCCATCTTCCCATCATGTCTGAGAGTCTGGTGTCTCAGGTGTCTTGTGCTGTTCTCTCAGTATACCTCCACATCTGCAGTGAGAATGTTCCAGATGGCCAGCTACGTGTGCTGGGTCACCTTGACTGGAATTTGGCTTTTAGAAATGCCCCATCCCCCACCCCTGCACAAGGTCAGTTGGCCAGTCCCTGAGGCTCCTGTCTCCTAGGCAGCAGCATCTCCTCTTGAGGGATTGGCACCTGCCTCTAGCCAGCTGTGGTATCCTTATCCCCCTGGCTCAGCAGGGAGGGCATTGTGGGGTGGAGGAGCACAGCTACCTCATTCAGGCTCCAAGGGCAAGGTCCAGGCTGGAATGCAACCCTGAAGGAATGAATGCTTCCTCAGCAAGCAGCTTAGGCTGGTACAAAACCCAGATGTGGTAGCAGGCTGCAGTGAAGGGAAAAGAGCAGAGGCAGGAGCCTGCGGTTCCAAGCACAGGATAGCCAGGTGGCTTCTAGTCTTCATGCCATCAGCCTCAGTATACTGTGACCTGTGAGGAAAGGTATCCACCTCCATGTGGGAACACTGCAGCTTTAGATGCAAATAGAATGCATCTGGAAACTGTCCAGTGGCAGCACAACCTCCTCACACCCATGATGGGTAGTGTCATCCCATTTACAAGATGGGAAACTTGAAGCTCGGCTGAAGCGCAGTGCCTGAGTCCACCCTGCCAGCATTAGGGACTTAGAGTCAAGTCCAGGCTCATGTGGGTACCAATTGGACAGTACAGACAGGGTGTGTTTCCACTACCGTAGAGAGTTCTCTTGAATGGTGCTGTGCTGGGTGGAGCTATTCCACTGGCTCTGAGGCTCTGACAAATCCTGCAGTGAGAATCACCTGGAGCCCAGCACCCCCAGATTTACTTGGCCACAGACACCTATAAACAACTCTTCTGGTCCCCTATATACACAGATAGCAGTTCTCTGAGGCTGCGGTAGCCCTGAATGCCACCCTGGTTGGGAATCTAAACCTCTCTTCTCATTCTGTCCCCAGATTGTCTCGGGTCCCCAGTGTTCACGCCAATCAAAGCAGACATAAGTGGTAACATCGCGGTATGTACCCCATCAAGTATCTGATCCTGCCTCCAATCAGCTTCCAGCCTGAGGATGGGGAAGAAGGCAGGAAACCCTCAGTCCTAGTCCTCCCATTTGGGGCCCAAGGTTCTTGGTACCCTCACCCTATAATCATGGGTCCAGGCTCAACCTGATTGGGAACTTAAGTACTGATCCCAAGAAGGACCTGCTGACTCTGCCACCCACCTCCAAATAAGAACTCCAGAGCTGGGGATGGCTCAGTTGGTAAAGAGCCTGCTGCACAAGCTTGCAGCCCTGAGTTTGATCCCCAAAACCCGTGTAAAAAACTGGCGAGGTGGTACACGCTGGTAATCCCACTGCTGGGAATGGGAGAGGTAGCAATAGTGGATCCTTGAAGTTCATTGGCCAGCCAGTGAGAAACTTTGTCTTAAAAACTAAAGGTAGAGGGGCTAGAGAGCTGGCTCAGCAGCTCTCTGGGGACTGAGGACTGGACTTCAGTTCTCAGCACCCATGTCAGTCAACTCCGTGTAACTCCAAATCCAGGGATCTGACACCTTCTGGCCTCTTTGGGCACATACACACATATATACATAAGTAAGTCAGAAACCCTAAAAACAATAAAAGTGGAGAGTGATCAAGGAGAGACATACAATGTGGGCCTTGGGGCTCTATCCACATGCATACCCACACAGGTCTACATGCATGTACACACACATAATACATACACAACATACACACGGAAATAATTCTAGCTAGGTGTCACCATGCCTGTAATCTTGTAATGCCAATAACCAGGAGGCTGAGGCCAGAGGATCCAGGTTAGCCTGGGCTACATAATGAGGCTTTGCACCTATCTTCCAAGAAAGAAGAGGTAAACTCTGAAGTCCACAGGGTAGGATTGGCCTGGCTCCTCTCCATCTCGGACACTCCTGGAGCCTTCCCGCTCCATAGAGATATACTTAGAACCAGCACAGGACTTGTGATGCTCTGTGGTCTCATTTCTGCACCCCTGAGACCTTTGAGGCTGGTTCTTCCTATTTCACTTTTCCCCCAGATGAGGAGCCTGAAGCTCAGAGGGGTTGGTAGACTCACTTAAAGTCACACAGCAAGAAAATGGGATTTCCCAGAGCTGGGATTCAGGTCTGGGCTGATCTGGCTCCAATTCAGGGGTCTTTGTGCCTAGATGGCTTTGAATCCTAAAAGTTGTCTCCACTCCTTTCACAGTGGGATTTCAGGTCACCTGATGACTGTGCAGCAAGACGCGGCTTCTGGAGCCAGCTAGCCTGGGGTCTCCCTGAGCCTCAGTCCCTGAACCTCAGTCCTAGTCATTGATTGGGTGCTGAAGGCAGTGCTGGGTTGCCATGAGAACCATGAATGGCACCTGAAGCACTGCCTATGCCCGGGCTCCTAGGTGGTGCTCAGCACCCAGGAGCAGGTCTGGTCCCCAACTGTTCCTGTCAGAGGGAGGTGCCATGCCGGTGGGACCAGTGTGTGGAAGCTGTCTTCAGGGCGGCATTTTCAATGTGAGAACCTCTACTCCATTTCAGAAAATCAAGGCCGTGTACAACACCAACCCAGCCAAGTTCAGGACCCTGCAGAACATCCTGGAGGTGGAGAAGGAGATGTATGGAGCAGAATGGCCCAAAGTGGGGGCCACGCTGGCACTGCTGTGGCTGAAGAGGTGATGGACTTGGGGGCACAGTGGGGGCCTGTGCTGTAGAGGAGGGGGTGCAGACACTGAGAGTTACTGGCTGTGAGGACACTTCCTAAGACCAAGATTATAGTAATGATGGTGCCTCCTTGTTCTAGTCCCGGTAAAGGAAGAACAAGTGTATTCTCCAGCCTGGGCCTTGTGCTCAGTTCTTTAAGCACCTGGATGGGTCTCTAATGCTGTGAGGCCGGTGTGGTGACTGTCCCCATCTACTAGAGGAGGCCGAATCATAGTACCAGGTTATCTAAACACAGTGGTGCAAGTTGTGTACTGCACAAAGGTATAGGGTAGTGAGGGGCAAAGAAGGCAGGAGACAAGCAGGGGTGAGAAGGTGAGGTGGCTCCCACTGTGGAGTAGCTGATGGTCCCCACTTGGGCTACATGGGGCTGAGAGAAGTGGGACATGGGACACCATGTGTGTTAAACTTCTGTGACTATGGCAGAAAGCCTGAGCAAAATGGAGAGAAAGGATTTGTTTAGCTCATGGTTTCCGAGGGCTCAGCCTGTGGTAGGCTTAGTGATTCTAGACCCATGGTGAGGCAAGACATGGTAATGAAACCACCCACTTCATGGTGAGCAGGAAGTAGAGGAAGGCCCTAGGGACCCTGTATAACTTCTCAGGACCCATCACCTCCCAATATAGCACCACCAGCCAGGTACCAAGCCTTCAACACATGAACCTGCGGGACAGTTCCTAGTCTAACTCTTTGAGACAGGGTTTCACTATATAGACCAAGGTGGTCTGGAACTCACAGAGATCCGCCTGCCTCTGCTTCCTGAGTGCTAGGATTAAAGGTGTACATCACCATGTTCAGCCTAGTCTCTTAACTGTGTACTCCAGGGCTGGCAGTGACCACATTTCCTATTTGGGCTTCCTGCCATGCCCTATAAAGCCCCTTGGGCAGAGTATGACTGGGACAGGGACTGCTGTGCAGTCATCGGCACAGGACAGTGGGGCAGATTCAAAAAGATCTTGGGGTGGTAGGGTTAGGGGAGGAGTCTGGGCAGACAGTACCCTCTTAGGGACCACACTGTGGCTTCACCTTTCGAGCTATGAGAGGCTATGAGGACCCAGATCGGGCTGTCCTTGCCATTTTTGAGGCATCTTGGCAGAGGCCTGGTGGAGGGAAGGCCCTTGAGATGCTGAGTTGAGCCAGGTGGTCACATTGCTAGAAACAGAACAGGCTTTAGGTAGACTAAGGGAGCTGCTCCGCTTTTCAGGAACCACCAGTTGGCCAGGGCCCTAAATAACTGTCTCCTGTGGCCACAGGGGCCTACGCTTCATCCAGGTGTTCCTGCAGAGCATCTGTGATGGGGAGCGGGATGAGAACCACCCCAACCTTATCCGCGTCAATGCCAACAAAGCCTATGAGATGGCCCTAAAGAAGTACCATGGCTGGCTTGTACAGAAAATCTTCAAGGTGAGCCCCCATGGGGTGAGACATTGCAGGTGCCCTCCTACTCTGCCCTGTGTAGCCCAGAATGCACTCACCTGTCCCGTGGGGTGAGGCCAGCACACTGAGGCCCCTCAAATGCCCATGGCCACCCCTGTTTGTAGTGAAGGGAAGGGACATGACTGCAGGTACACCCTAGTGTTTCTGTGCGTGCCTCTGGTGAGGCCTGACAGCTGTAAGAGAAACTACCACAGAGACTGAGAACTGCAGTGTGATGATGAGCTGGCCTCCTTGGCCTTACCTCAGTCTGGATTCTCATACCAGGCTGGGAGGGTAAGAAGGGCCCTGCCTCTAAGGGCACAGCAGCTGAAAAAACCCTGACCCCCCTGGTGGCCTATGTGATACTGACCACAGCGCCTGGAGACAGAAAGGCCCTACATGCTGTTGGTGGTCACCCTACCTGGTGCACCCTCATCAGATTGCCGAAGGAGGCCCAGGCTGACAGACTTGAGGCCAGACAGGAAGAACAGGTCACTGGGCAGGAAGCATGGGCCATCTCCCTGGGCATGACTGGGGTTAGAGGTCATCTCAAGCAGCCCACCCTCCCTGCAGTGACTTTTTTACGTCAGAGTCCTCACCAGCACCTCGGCAGTAACAATGGCACCCTGTGCTCCAACCTGGCAGCTGCCTTTGAGTGATGATCTTGCCCAGTGACCGCTAGAGGGCCTGTTTTCACACTTTGCTTTCCAGCCTGGCTCGGTGAGCTGCCAAGTCAAGGTCCCACCTGGTCGGTGGGGTGGTGTCAGTATGCACCATTCCCAGGATGATTGCTTGAGCCCAAGAGTTCTGAGCCAGCCTGGGCAACATAGTCAGCGCCCATCTCAAAAATAAAAAGTGAACTTCTGGGAGCCTCCCTTCCCCAGGCTTAGTGGCCTCATCCTTCAAATGCTTGTGGAACAGGCCCTTCCTCCAGGGATCACTGGGAAGTGAGGGAGGTGATCCGCACAGGGCGCAGCACATATCTTCCGTTCAGTAGCCGAAGCCATTACTGTTTTTTATTTTTATTTTTTTGAGACAGGGTCTCCCTGTAGCCCCAGCTGGCCTGGAACTCACTACGTAGACCAGGCTGGCCTGGAACTCACAGAGATCTGCCTGCCTCTACCTCCTGAGTGCTGGGATTAAAGGTGTGAGCCACCACGCCTGGTATTGCCATTACTGCTTTTTATTATTAATGAAAATACTACTTGTACTTCCATCGTCCTGCTAACTAAGGTCTAAACTTTTGGGGGGCCGCATCTTTTTCCTCTGGCCCTGAAGTTCTGTAGATTTCTGACTCTCTGCCTTTTGAAGTGAAGGACAGAAGATACCACAGCACAGATCTGCCACTTCCCCCAGAAAGTACCTTTGCTAAAAGGCTATGCTGAGTAGCTCCTGTGTGTCTGGTGTTGTGTCCAGTATCTGCTGTGTGCCCAGTGCCATGTTGAGTGTTTGCAGACCCCCTCTAATCTTTTTTTTTAATGTTTTATCTATTATTTTTATTTCTTTTATGTGTATGAGTATATTGCCTGCATGCGTGTAAGTACACCTGTGTCGTGCAATGCCAGAGGAGGTCAGAAGAGGGTGTCGGAATCCCTGGAACTGGAGTTACAGATGGTTGTTAGCCTCCATGTGGGTTCTGGGAATCAAACCCAGGTCCTCTGCAAGAGCAGCCAGTGCTCTTAACTGCTGAGCCATCACTCCAGCCCTCCCGCCTCTAATCTTGACCCAAGCAGCCCAATTAAGTGGACATCATTATTACCCACACTTTACAGACAAAACAGGAGTCTTGAAGCTGAGTAACTTACTCAAGGCTAGTTGGTGGTACCAGCTGCAGTCTGTAGTCAGGTCTGTCTGTCTCCCAAGCTGGTGTCCTTCCTACCATCCCTCCGGGGTGGGGGTGGGGGAGAAATGTACCCCTTTCCTTTTCCATTGCAACATCATGAGCAGGAGGAATCCTACTGGCCAGGGGCTCAGACATCCTGAGTCCCCAGTGTGCTGGCCTGGTCTCACCCACTAATGCTATGCCCACCTCCCCCCTTTCCCATCTCAAGGCAGCACTGTATGCAGCACCCTACAAGTCCGACTTCCTGAAAGCACTGTCCAAGGGGCAGAATGTGACAGAGGAGGAGTGCCTGGAGAAGATCCGCCTCTTCCTGGTTAACTATACTACCACCATTGACGCCATCTATGAGATGTATACCAAGATGAATGCAGAGCTCGACTACACGGTGTAGGTGGCCCTAACACATGGCCCCAAGTGGGAGCAAGCAATCCCAAATCACTGTGAATCAAGCTGGATCCCCAGCTCAGCCCCGAGGACAGCCTGGGCCAACAGGGGTAGCCTTGGCTTTTTAAATCATTTTATTTTTTGGCCTGTTCTAATGGAGCAATAAACACCAACCCTCCTTGCACACCTCTCCAACTTTCCAGCAGTACAGGCTGAGCACAACTTCTTTCCAGTGTGATAAAAACCAATTAACGTTGCTAACAAATCAAGTCCTAGGGGTTTTTTTTGTCCTTACCTCCCCCACCAGCATCCCAGTTCAGGGGAGACAAACACCTCACTCTACAGGGAAACCAGGTCCTTATGGGGATCTTGTCTTATGGGGATTGATGTCTTAGATATTTAAAGGACCATGAACAGTTTGATTGGAAGTTTTACAGGGCTCCTGCTGTGGCATCTATATGACAAACAAGCTGGCGAGAGGTCCCTGGTGCCCTGCACAGCCCTGCACCATCGCCTCAAACCCTGCACTCTTTCTGTCTTTTGGCAGACTGTTTTGTTTTTTAAATAGCTGAAATGTACCAGCAAGCCTTTTAAAGCAACTGACCAGGCACATACAGGTGACTATACGTAACTGTATTTGCATTCTTCTACATAATTATTTTCTTCAGGGACGGCTTTTCCATCTGAACAAAATACCTGTTATGGGAATTCTCTAGAGGGGCCAAGAAGCCCTCCAGCTGTGGAGACCCAAGAAACTGCCTTGCTGCCTTAACTGCCCTGGCACTAAAAATAGCTATATTTTTAAAAAGTATTGGGGCAAAGAAACCCCAGAACTGATGTTAAAAAAAAAAAAACAAAAAAAAAAAAAACCAATAAGGAACAATTGATTTTTTTTAATGCAGAAACTAAATAATCCTAAATAAATCTCTATTTTGAAATCACATCTGGGTGCTACTTTGATTCTTGATTCTTTTATTATTTTCCACATCAGAGATTATACCTGGGGACTCTTAGATCAAATCTTGCCAAGAACCTGCTTTCTGGCCTCCTGGTTTTAAAAATAAAACTGGTGGGCACATAGGCTGGGGGACAGGGGTTTCATAAGAAAATCACAGGCTGTGGCTTTTGAAAAACCAAGTGCCAGGCATGGTAGCAGATTCTTGTAATCCCAGCACTTGGGAGACTGAGGTAGCAGGATCATGAGTTCAAGGCCAGCCTGGACTACATAGAAAGACCACTGAGTGAGAGAGGAAGAGAAAGGGGAAGTCAGGGTTCTCCATGGCAGCTGGAAAATAACCTCCTTGGCTAGAAAGGAAGGAGAGGGTCCATTTTGCCTTGGCCTCCACCCAGCCCTCCTCTTGGCCTGCTGACCAGTGGTTAATGCTTTTTCCCATACTAGGGTGAAATGGGAAAATTCTTACTTGCCTTTGCTGCTGTCTACAAAGTGGAAAGCCCAATAGACAAGGTGGGTCAGTGAGACAACAGTGACATGCAGACTGCTCAGAACCCAGGGGGAGCCTAGGCTGCAAATGAGAGACCACTGGAATGCACCTTAAGGAGTCAGAGCTTGCACTGAGTCTGCAGAAGTCAGGATGGGAGGGAAGGGGCACATTGCAAAGAATAGGCATAGATGTGGTAGCATGACCCAGAGTAGGCTGCAAGTGTGTGTGTGTGTGTGTGTGTGTGTGTGTGTGTGTTTGCACACTGTTACTGTGGTATTGGAGTGTCATCTTGAAAACTAAGGAACCACCCCCAGGGAGGCTCATGTGCAATCCAGGTACCCAATTTGGAAGACTGCCTCTGGTATGGCTGAGGGATGGAAGCCTGAACTAAGTCATCTACTGCCAAACTTCAGTACACTGTCTAATATTGCCGAAACTCAGACTGCTGCTGTGCCTCCTAAGCTCTAATTGCTTCAGTGGATTTCCCCTTTGGGCTTCCTAGAAATGCAACATTCAATCTGTCAACAAATTTAAAGAATATTGGCTCAGTCATTAAGTTCCCAGCACCCACATGACAGCTAACAAGGGTCCATATGTCCAGTTCCAGGGAATCTCACACCCTCTTCTGGCCTCCATGGGCATAGCATACATGAGACTCACTTAAGGAAAACACCCATACACATTAAAGAAAATAATTCTGTCTCTTCCTCCTATCTTTGAGGTACTACACTGAGGTCAAGAAGGCACATTCGTCTTAGAAGGGAGGGATTTGCTCAGGGCCAGCCCCCTTCACTGGGAGATTTTGAGTCCAGAGATGCAGGTGGCATCTCATCCTTGTCAAAGTGGGACTGAATTCTACCTGAGACACAGAGGGGGAAAAACAAAAACAAAAAAACACAGGGTATGGTGGCGCACGCCTTTAATCCCAGCACTTGGGAGGCAGAGGCAGGTGGATCTTTGTGAGTCATGTCGAAAGTCCTCTGAGAGGCACAGGTGCAACTTTGTCCAGCTGTCCAAACCAGATCATCTATTAAACTCAAATGGCTTGTGACCAAAAAGAATACTTAATATCACAGAAATTTAGGGAAACCATTTGTGGGTTTTTCATTTTACCATAGTATGTAACAAAATGCAAATTACAAAGCATCCTGTGCAGGAAGAAACAAAAGTACCCTCCTCCTGTCCTTTGGGTGATTCTTTTCCAACACTGAATTCTGTCTTTTCTGCTTAGCAACACATCCTCAGCCCTCATCTGAGTCAGTCAGCTCCAGGGGCCAGCACCTAAGTAATACTAAGCATCGGTCTCAGAAAATAACAACTTATCAGTACACTGTAGATGGTGCTCCATCTGCCAAGCACTCCATGTCTCATTTGTTTCTCACTCAGCAGCACTGGCACTGGAAGGAACTAAATCTCAACTCAAGAAAATAGGTGAGCATGGGGATAGTTGAAGAATCAAGGAACCTGAATCTAAAAAAAAAAAAAAAAAAAAAAAAAAAGCGCATTGAGCACCAACTGTATACCAGGTCCAGCAAAAGTGCTTTAACACATCAGTTCACTACCACCTGAAATGTATGTGGGTCAGGAGTTGGCTTATCAGAGGAGGAAATGAAACAACTCCCCAGGGGACTCCCAGAGTGACCCAGCCAAATGTGCACCGGGGCCTCTCTGGTCTGACTCCACACCTCTCAGTGGGGTCTGCCCTATGCCCCTAACAGTGAGTTCTCCTAGGTAACCCCTTACAGCCGAGAACAGTTGGTTATCATTCAGATAAAATTCTCCGAGCTCCCAGGATAGCGTCTCAAATTCTAATGCGTGCCTGTTACAGATGACAAGCCAGAGCCCCCGTCACCCTTCAGAGCCCCCTGCTCATCTGAAACAAGAGGTTTTGCCGGCACGTACTCCAAAGTTGCCGTGAGGTTGAAGTTGAAATCTTAGCACAGTATTTGTGAAGTGACTGGCACAGTGTTGGAAGTTGCTTGGTAAGACTGAAAGCCTCAGGCGCATCTTCACCGGGTGGAGATGTCTGGTGTGATGGGTACCGGTTCTGCTATTAGTACAGTGGACTTGGACAAATCACCTCCCCTCTCTGAACCTGTCTTCCTGTCCCTACAACCGGGATTCCGACAGATGCTAGCTCGCCGGTCCAACAGAACTGTGCAGACAGGGAATCAGCTACGCGATCGCCTAGTGACGGACTTCTCTTAGCTCGCACAAAGTTCTAGGGCAAAAGTCTTGAGACTGGCCAGCACTAGACCGCTCCGCGGTGGGTGGACTCCGGGGTCCAGCAGTCCGCAGGCTTCCGGCCACACACCCGCCGCCCCCGCGCCTGCGCACGCTCGCCCGCAGTTCCCGATAAGTGCCCGTAGGTGGCGCTGTCCTCACGGCGCCGTGGCAGGGCCGAGGGCGGGGTCTGCCAGTCCGTGAGCTGGCGGAAGGTCACGCCCACTCTGGGCTTTCGGAAGCCTCTGCTTTAGGGCTCTGATCTCAGGCTTTTACTATTGCCACTGCTTCCTGCACCGTTGGCACCTGGCAATTCTTGAATTCAAGTCCAGGTCCCGTACCTTTGTCAACTGATTTCTCTGAACCTCAGTTTCCCCATATGTACACCGAGACAGGAGCACCTCTACCTTGCATGAAGTACTGTGTTTAAAATCCCTGGTGCAGGGAAGATGGTTAAACAGTGGTTAACTGGGTTAAATGGCTGGGGTTCCTGAAGGGACAACCCAGCCCCCAATGCAATTACCTAAACCACAACATACCCATTTCTTGTTCTTAAAGACACAGCAGAGCCCACACCAATACATCAATAAAGAACAGTCCAGAAAGCGTCCTGCAGTCTGGCTGCTATTCCTCCAGCTCCACAGAAGTCCTGCATGATTCTAGGGCGTTCACTTCTCTCTGGGCCACCGATGTCTTTAAATGGGAGCGAGGGTTGGGTGTTTCAAAGCCAGCTCTGACAAGCTGTATAGACCCCTAAGCCCCTTGAGCAGCCCCTGGCTTGTCCTGGAAGTGCAGTGGCATTGGCATGCTGCCTGTGACCTGGGGTGGGACCACACTATAGCCCTGGGGCCTGGAGAGAGCTGACCATCTTGGTGATTATCTCTAGATCAGCCCTTGATCTGAGATGATTGAAAGGCAGAATCACTCCTACTGAGCACCTACTGTGTACAATGCCCTGAGCTAGGCTTGGGGAATTCTGCAAGAAGATACCAACATCCAAAGGAGATGAGTAATGAAGCTGGAGAGAACAAGGCAATGAAGGGCAGCAGACAGAGCATCGTGATGGGGATAGTTATGGAACCCTGATTTAAACTGGAGATTGGCCAGGGAGCTCTCTGAAGAGGTGACATTAGAGTTGAGATCTAAAGGAACAGAAAGAGCAGGTTATGGAGAGGCAGCTATAGCTAGTGCAAAGGCCCTGAGGCAGGAGTGGAAGAAGCCTTTCTTTCCTCCTGGGGTTGGGGGTCAAACTAAGGGCCTAGTCCTGGACAAGTGCTCTGCTACTGAGCCACACCCCCAAGTAACCAGAGCCTCACATTCGAGGGGGAGGTTATAGCCTACAGTTGCTGGATGTTAGCCAGGGTAGCAAGAGCCTGATTTCTGTTCTAAGAGCAGGAAAAGTTACTCTCCCTATGAGCAGAAGGTAACAAGGTCAATTCACAGTGTGAGCTGCTGTTAGCCAAGATCTCCAGGGGTCACTGTTATGGATTCAGAAAAGACGCTGTGCCCTTCTTTGTCCCAAGTATCTGCCTCTTCCCAGCTGGGAGGGGAGCCTGTGCCACCAGACTTTGTGGCCTAGATCTGGTGTGGGGGGCAGGGAGATTGTCTTTCAATCTGGGGCTGGGGATATAACTCAATTGGTAGAGTACTGGTCTAGCAAGCACAAAGGCCTGGGTTCCATCCCCAGCAGCAGCTGAACTGAGTGGTGGTACATGGTCTATTATCCCAGCACTTGGGAGGTGGAGGCAGGAGAATCAGAAGTCAAAGGTCATTCCCAGCTACATAGCAAATCAAGGCTAGCCAGGGATACCTGAGACTTTGTCTCAAAAAATTATTTCAAAGAGACTCATTCACACTCCACAGACCTTCCTGTATATACCAGCAACCACTCAGAGACCCCAGTTAGGAAGCCCTGATGCCCTCTGTCCCTTCTGGGACAAGGCCCAGATGCCCCCTCCCTCCCTGTGGTACAGCCTTCTGAAGCTGCCATCTCTGACTGACAGGGCCACACCCACAGGCCAGCTGCCCAGAGGAATGGAATCACAGCCAGTGGCTAAGCCCTCAGAGTGGCTGTGCCCATGGCAACGGTCATCTGAGGAGAAGGGCTTCCACTCCACCTGGCCTCAGGTTTCCACCCCAGGGAGAATTCCAGAAGAGCCTCATTGAAGCTTGGTACTTGGCAGGGTGTG